CACACAAGTATCTGTGTGTGTGCACTCAGACTGCAGGGAAGGGGAGGAGGGTTCAGTCTGTAGGTCCAAGTGAAATACTTGTGTGTTCCACACAATGAATAAAAATAGACTAACCTTCCTCCCAAAACTAATTTTGTTACAATTCCAGGAATGCTTTCAGTGCATGAAAAACTTCAAATTCATCTTTCTTGTCTCACAGGTTTTGTTGGATTTAAGGATTGCAAAACAAAGACTGAAAGGCTATGCAAACAATTATTTCCCTAAAGAGTTACTAAGTCATATATTTATTAAAAATTTGTGGGGTTAAATCTTAGGGGAGGTTTCAGTCTTACTAATGTAGCTTAGATAGGCCAGGAAAAAATGACTGCGTAACTTAGGTTTCAGCCATCAAATTGTTTGAATGGAGCCTGGGGAGACTTACCCATGAAGCCTTCAGCCAAATACTACAGGCCATTGATGATTGACTCAGTGGTTACTTTTATTTCCTCCTCCTTGTTTAATATAAATAATGGAATCGTAATTTTAGAGGAAATCTCAAAGAGCCAATTTAGTCTTCATTTTGCAGATGAGGAATTCAAGGCCAAGGCAAGACAAAAATATGGCTGGTGAGTCTAAGAGCTGTGGCTCGGACTTCTAGGATAGTCCCTTGTCGTGTTAGCACACTGACACCCTGAAGATAGCATCGTAGGACACTTCTTGTTTGAATAAGCAAGAGAGTAGTTACATTGTCATGGATGAGTCAGTTGAACATTTTCCCTCCCTCCTAAATTGTTGATTTTATTATTTCTATAAAATGTACATTCTAAACTCATGCTATTATTATTATTTCATTAAGAAAGCAATGTCATATAGACCTGAAAACCCTTCTTTAGGTTTCTTGTGTTGAGTTATTTATAAACAGGGAGGACAGTAAATTAGTGGGTTTATTAGGCACATGTGTATTTGGCAAATTGACTTCACCAGTATTTAGGCTCAAAATTGGACAAAATGGTGTGAATCTCTCAGTTTGTTGGTATATGGAGGAGACACTACAGTGTAGGGCTCGGTGATGAGACTTGGTTTTAAGTTTTGAATATAGCAGTTAGTACTTTTTTTTTTTTTTTTTTTTTTTAGACAGAGTCTCACTCTGTTGCCCAGGCTAGACTGCAGTGGCCTGATCTCAGCTCACTGTAACCTCTGCTTCCCGGGTACAAGCGATTCTCCTGCCTCAGCCTTCCGAGTAGCTGAGATTATAGGCACCCGCCACCGCACCCAGCTAATTTTTGTATTTTTAGTAGAGATGGGGTTTCACCATCTTGGCCAGGCTGGTCTCGAACTCCTGACCTCTTGATCCACCCCCTAGGCCTCCCAAAGTGCTGGGATTACAGGTATGAGCCACCGCACCCGGCCAGCACTTAGTACTTTTGGCAAAGCACTTAATGCTTGTAAGCTTCACTTTCTTCTTAGGACAGTAGTACTGACACTAACTTTAGGATTGCTATAGCAGCTAAATTAGGAAATAGATATTAATACTTAGCGTATTGAGATCCTATTGTGTGCCAAGCACTGACCTACAGGATACACTAGCTTGTTTCTTCATTATGGATGCTTGCAGTCTAGCCAGAGAACAAATATAAAACAAATCAACCCATATGTAGTTACAACTGTGAAAATCAGCGAGGAGGGGACTGAATACTGAAAGAACACGGACTCAGAAAAATCAGTCTAGTTTGAGGACACCAGAGAAAGCTTCCCTGACAAAGTAGCTTGCTCAAAGTCAAACAGTTAATCAATGGAAGAGGAAAAATTTGAACCCAGACTTTCTTCCTCTAGAGCGAATGCTGTCTGGTAGCTTTTATTCCTCAAAGCAACTCTTTGAGAAAGGTATTTTGATGGTTTGACCTTTGGTATCCCTCCTAAGTATTATATTAATTCTCCCCTTTGGCCTCATCCAACCTGATGTAAAGGAAAAAAAAATAGTCTAATAAATTTCCCTTCTTGATTGTCCTTCTGGTGAACTGAAAGTGTGACTTCAGATTTTTAGTTCCATTTAATCCTTTCAAATGTTTAGAATGACTAAAATAGAAAAAAACATTGTTTCTGTTCTATAAATAGTACATTTTCTTATTTTCTGGACTAGTCAGTCTATCTAGACTTGGTCTTTTGAACATTAATTACTGAAGCTAAACCATAAAAATAATACGGAGACAGCAACATGGATGACTGTGTATACCTTTGCCGTATAAATCTAACTACACGAGTTCTATTTGGTTAGAAAACATTTATGAGTATTTTGTCGGGACATTTATATGCCTATAAATAACATTGCTGTGATACTTTGCTTAGCGTGAAGTTTTGAAGACGTTTTAGTAGTCACCTTATTATGAAGACTTAATCTGCCTGTCGGGTTAATAAACTTCAAAAGTTGTATTTTGCACATAGGTGCAACAATTTCTGGAAGGATATTACTTCCCTTTGAGAGCCTGCATATTGTCAGCTTTTAAGAATCAAAGCAGATTAAACATTGGTGGTGTACTCCATACCGTTTTCTTTTCAAAGTTGAGGCCTGTGCCTGTCCTACTTCTCTAGAAAATCTACACTTGAGTTGTCCTGAGCATATCCGCTAATAGACTGCTTAATATTTGCAGAGAGCTTTTCATTTTGAGGATTTCACAATCATTGCCTTTTAATCCATATAACACCCATGTGAGGTAGGTAGATCCATTCAAGTATCCAACTCTCCTGCAGGCGAATTTCTGTGCCAGCAGGAATATTATGATTGGCGCTGACTTTCCTTAATTTCCCAGAGGCCAGACACCTGGAGAGGCTTTCCTGCAGACTCAGGTACATGCCAGTGTTCCAGCCACATGGGACTGCCTCCTCTTTCCTCCTGCTCATTTACTAAGATTCAGTGACTTCATGCACCATTAACCATAATGCTGTGCTGACTGTGTCAATCTGCGTTAAGCCCACAAAGGAAGGGGTGTGTTTTCGAAGATTATTAGAGGACCAAATGAACATTTTCCGTACTTTCTGTGCAGCAAACTCCAGCTGTTGACAACTTCATCACTTCAACAAAAGTACTTTTCCTTCAATGGTAACTTTTACATCTCCAGCTACATACTTAGATTAATAAGTGAGCACCCAGAATCAAGTTTATAATTATATTCAGGCAGGCAGAAAATATGTATACCTAATGATTAAATCATCGATGAAAAAGCATCAATGGAAACATAATGAAAGCAATCATATATTAGGTGCTTATGGTGCACCAGGCACTGTGATAAACACAACACATATATTATCTCATCCTTATAACACCCCTATGAAGTAGATATTATCATCCCTGTTTTATAGATGAGAAAGCCAAGCAGGGCTAGTAGGTTGCCCACATTCATAGAGCTAATAAATAACAGAGCTAGAATTTCAACCTAGTTCTGTCTGACTCCAAAGTCAGTTCTTCAAACATTATATACTATGTACTACCTTAGGTAGAAGGTAATGTACAGATTATTAAAGTACTGGGATAACATGCAGCAAAGAAGTGCAAAAGATAGGCTGGACTAAGAAGGTGTGTAATGATTTCCTTCTTTGTAAAGCAAAACAAAGCCATTTAAAAGAATTGTTTTTATCCATGTAATACTTTATATATTTTTTCATAACTTACCTCAAATGAAAGACTCATAATTTGTCTTCTTTGTTGATAAGTTATTGAAAACCTGTTTTTTAATATTAAAATTATACATATTAAATAATGCTTAAAACCTTAAGTAGAATGGTTGCTCAGAAACTATTGATAAATTAACTTCTAGAAATTCATAGGGCTTTTAATTCAGAAAAGAAATATAAGTACATGGCAAAACATTCAAATGAAACAAAAGAATGTTCCTCCTATTTAAAATTTCCAGATTCCCAGTTTTTCTGAGAGTCATTATTAGCTCTGGTTTCTTGTGGATTCTTCAGAAAGAATCATTGTATATATTTGTGTGTGTGTGTGCGCGTGAATAGGTATATGTACACTTGCATATGTCACAGCTGAATTTATTGTCTTGAATGGTAGTAAAGTTGTAAATATATGGTTAATCATAGAACTATATACTCTGAATATATTTTCATAATACAAATCTTGTATTACATGTATTATAAAATGATTGTGCGTAAGTGGATAATTATTGTTGTACTTTTAAGAAAAATAGATATATGACATATTAACCATATCCTTTAAAGAAGATACTAACATAAATGTTATGTAATTCTAATATGAAATGATTATAATTTAAGTACCTTAATTTCTAGGGTTGCTGAGTTATATGTGAGAAAGAATTATAAGACATTAACTTTAAGAATTTAAGTTAGATGCAGAGGTCCTCACAGATTTAATATTTTCTTTGAAATTTCTCTATACTTTCAAATGCCTTTCTTACATTTGATAAAAGTTGCAGAGTGACATTACATATTAAAGAATAAGGCAATATTTTGAAGTAAAGGGGATAGTATTGTATATTGCCGTAGTACACAACTATGTTTTTTGTTTGTTTGTTTTTAAGATGGAGTGTCACTGTGTCTCCAGGGTGGAGTGCAGTGGCCCGATCTCAGCTCACTGCAACCTCTGCCTCCTGGTTCAAGTGATTCTTCTGACTCAGCCTCCCAAGTAGCTGGGATTACAGGCATGTGCCACCAGGACCAGCTAATTTTTGTATTTTTAGTAGAAATGGGGTTTCACCATGTTGGCCAGGATGGTCTCTATCTCTTGACCTCATGATCTACCCTCCTTGGCCTCCCAAAGTGCTGGGATTACAGGCATGAGCCACCGCACCCAGCCCCAACTATGTTTTCATAATGGTAGAAGATAATATTCAGTTATCAGTTTACCTTGGAAATTATGTGTTTCTAGTATAAATATCAGCTACAAAAAGTAAATCTTAACCAGCCTAAAAAGAGAAGATTTGAGCATCGTAAGTATTTTAATTTAAAAGTTAAGTTGCTAATTCTTTTTTTATGTTTTTGTTTTCTAATTTTAGGTTTTAGTATTAAAGCAGTGCCATTCCAGAATGCCATCTTGAATGTAAAAGAACTTGGAGGTATAACATTTCAAATCATTTCTATGTCCTTAATGTTTATTAATTTGGTAATAATGTATTATATGTAATTCAAACATAATGATAACTTATTCTAGTAGGTGGTTCATTTTTATATTGATTATATATTTCCTAGAAATATTTCTTTCTCTTTGTATACATTTTAAAAATTGTTGAAGAGTTCTAAGTAACATAAACTTTGGGTTTTTTTAATGAATCAAAGAATTACACTATTATTGGCAATTTATGCAGCATACGCATTTCTTTTACTTGTTCAAAAAATTCTTGAATAAAACATGAAGAAAATTTTAATATCATCGAAAGATCAACTATACGGGGAAATGATTTGTATTTTAGAGTAATTTGTGTTTATACTGCAGGTTTTATTATATTAGGTCTTTTTAGATTGTATTGGTTCCGATAATCTTTGCCAATAGGTTATTTGCTGGCCAAGCACATTTATCGGATAGGCTGTGCCCCAAACCATACGTCACTCAGTCTTTCATTACAGTCTCTATCTCGCATATTTTGGTTGTGTTTTATGTTAGTCAGGGTCTTAACCCATGTAAATAGATTAACAAAGAAATCAATCAATTCAGTGAACCCACTAAATTCTCTAATGGCACATGAAAATACTAAGTGCTCTGGAGTTCAGTATGATATCGGTGAGTTTAATGACTTAGAAGAGAGTTATCTTCCATCTCTTTAATCACTTTGTGATATTGGCCTTACCCTCTTTTGTTTTGTTTTGTTTATTTTCCCTTAAAGTCATTCTTACTGTAACCTATTTTTAGCTTGATGAAATTGTAACACCAACTTCATGCCATTTTAATAGTGTTTGGTATCTTCTTATTTTTATCTAATAAAGTATTGGCTGATCTTTTCAGGTGTCTGTTTTCAGTTCGCTATATGTAGGACAGGTTCACTTCTGCCAGTCAGTTTCATATTCACTTTTAGCTTTTATAGCATTGATATATAAAATAACCATGATCAATACATTCCAATTTTTCTTTAAGACATTTGGTTTTGTCATTTTGACTCCAAAAATTATAAAACATGAATGTTCTTGTAATAATTTTTCTGTGCAAAGTTTTTTAAAAGACTGTGTTCTATTAGGTTGAATATTTTAAATTTTAATTGTACTTTTAAGAAAAATAAATGTATGGCATATTAACCATGCCATAGGCTTAAAACCTTAAATACAATGGTTGCTCAGAAACTATTGATAAATTAACTTCTAGAAGTTAGTATAATTTAATTCAAAAAAGAAATACAAATACCTGGCAGAACATTCAAATGAAACAAAATAATCTTTCTCCTATTTAAAATTTCCAGATCCCTGGTTTATAAAAAAATGCTTTTTTGCTTTGTGGCTTCTGGTGGTTTATTCCTTGGTGACAATAATATTACCTGTGGATATTTAAAAATCAGAGAACACATTGTAAAAGTCCATGGAATCAAAATGTATGGTTTGAGAATTGTATGGATTTTAAATATGGATGTTACTAAGTATTTTATTTTTAGGTTGGACACATGCTTTTATTGAACACCTTCCAGGTATAAGAAACTATTGGTTGGTTAATAAGGCATTTATTGTATATGATTGAAACAAACAGTAACTGTATGTGGACAGTTTTTATAAAAGTGAACACCAAGGAATTTGTAAGCTTGGCTCTGTGCCATCAAAATTCAGTATAATGAAAGATCAAGTTAGGGGACTAGAGGTGGAAATAGGTCTGTTCTCAGGCAAGGTTTAATTTTGCTGAAAGAGCTGTGCCCTGACAGTTGCTGAAATGGAAATTACAATGGAGAGGAGACCATAGGATTTGGTGGTTCTGTTTTAGTTGGTACCTATTCTGTAATGAGGTTAAGAGATGCAGGTAAAAGGCAGAGCCTCAGGGATCAGAGCAGATACAGTCATTCCAGGCTAGTGATACTTAAGTTTTTAGCGTGTGTTAGTATTGAAGAGCAAATTTCTAGCTTAAGCATAGATTCTTTTACCTCCTCAACTTTAATAGTTCTGTTTCCAGTTGACAGAGTGTCTGAAAGAAGAGGGGACTTTCTGAGTAGAAGCTAATTGTGTATCCTGTGTCACATGCTTGGGGGCAAGCACTTAAGGGAATGACTTCTTGACAGCTCATTCACTAAGTCATTTCCTCAGATATTTTTTGAGACTAGGTACTAGGTTATGTCTCAACCAGGAACACAGGAAAAGCTAGGCTAACCCATGTAAAGTGTAGCTTTCCTAGGAGTTAAAGTGTATCCTAGATATGAAGGGGATCATCCCAAAATAAGGTGTATGTGTGTTTAGGGGGAATTATGACTGACTGAAATCAAGTTGTCTGAGAGGGAGCTGCTTGACTGAGAATTTCTGGGAGGATAGAGTTAAATGTTTTAGGATCAATGTGTGAAGATATGAAGTTTTATTCACCAGTGGAGGGTTGCTCAGAAGACGGGTTAATCAGAGTTCAATCATATTGTCTATCAGAGAAAAATTCTGAATTCAGGGGAGGATCTCAAGAAGATAGGTGGTAAAGATAGAGATTGAGAGCCAGGAGAGTGATGAATTCTTAGTGAGGAATGCCCAGGTAGTTCTCCTTATCCTGGGGTTAATTCAGGAGAACAGCATGGCCCCTGTTCTCCCTGTTAATGTCCTTCCTCTGCCCCTTTCAGATAGTTCCAAGGCTCTTCTTCACTCTCCTTCCCAATCTTAAGTTAAATTTCTCACTTCTTCAAAATAGGGAAGCGCATAAACCTGTGTTCATTATCTATTTAGAAGAATGGTATGGGGTGAAGAAACAATGAATAATGGAGTTACACTCAGTGAAAGTCACTTTGGGGAATCTTAATGACAAACTGTATGTTTGCACTCACAAATATATGTTTGTGTGTGAATATATTATATATGTGTTGAATATATATTACTTACATAAATTATTATTTCCTCTTACCAATTTTCTGTTTTGTGAAAGTGTTTTTATATCTTTTTCCTGAAAAATTCTTAAAATTCTCATTCACATCAGTTTCTTTTCATGTAGTGTTTTCTTACTGTTCACTTGATCATTTTACCACAATTAATTATGGGTCTAGCATGGTCCTAGGGGCAGAGAATGAAAGATCTAAGCACAGCCTTCATCTTCAGGGAACTCATCATTCAGTGATGGAGACATTCATGAAAAGAGAAATAGGAAATTAGTGAAAATTTTGAAAATAAAGAAATGAAAGGGAAAATTAAGTGCAGAAGTACGAGGTAAATTATGACACAGTGATAGTCTAGCCCAGTGTTTTGGTGGGCCATTTCTGTTTTATTATTTTAAGAATGCCTTGTTCTGAACTACCTGTCACACCCTCCAGGCTGCAGTGATTATGCCTATCCTTTTGTGAAACTGGAGCTCTAAATCGTCGTCTTCTATTTTGCCCTTATTCCTTACTTTTCAAAACCCCTACCAGTCTCAATCTTTGCAACTTCAGGCCTAGAGAGTAGATGCTATTATTATCTCACAGATAAGATGACACTGTACATGATGATTTGACCACAGTCATTTGGAGCAGGAGGTGGGAATCAATCTGAGCTCTTGTGCCTAACCAGTGCACTCTATAACTACAGCACTTCACCCAGGGCCTGGCACAAGAGAAGTGCTCCCACCTGTTATTTGCTGCTGTTTGTATCATTATTATTTGCATGATTTAAAGTCTTCACATGTTGGTTTGGTTTTTTTTGTTGTTGTTGTTGTTGTTGTTAACAGTGTGTTGATAAAACACCATTTTTTGTTTTTTGAGGTGGAGTCTCACTCTGTCGCCCAGGCTGGAGTGCAGTGGTGCAATCTCGGCTCACTGCAACCTCTGCCTCCCAGGTTTAGGTAATTCTCCTGCCTCAGCCTCCCGAGTACCTGGGAATACAGGCATGAGCCACCACACCTGGCTAATTTCTGTATTTTTAGTAGAGATGGAGTTTCACCATGTTGGCCAGGCTGGTCTTGAACTCCTGACCTCAAATGATGTGCCCTCTTTGGCCTCCCAAAGTGCTGGGATTACAGACATAAGCCACTGTGCCTGGCCCTAAAATACCATATTGACAAAACATGAATACCTTTCTCTCTGCTCAAAAACATTTATAGGACTTAATCTCTAATTATTGCTGTTGCTTTTATCATTCATTTTCTCTCTCACACTCTCTTATGTAGAGATCTTTCAAGTCAAACTCTTGCTCAGTTATGGTTCTTACTTCTGGTTCTGTAATCCTGCTCCCCTCCTTTGATTTCTTCAAGACTACCTTCTGAATCAAAGTCTTACCTGTGCTTTCCAAACTATCTAAAACTTTCCACAAACATTTCACTGTTACATTCGTTTATTCTTTGTAATTCATTCATTCAGCAAATATTTACTGAGCATGTATTGCATGCCAGGCTCAGTTCTAAAAAGTTGTGGTGGTTATAGTGTCAAAACAAGCACTGTTCCTGCATAAACCAGGTAAAAGGTGCCAGGGGAAGCTCTTGGATACTTGACTTCTCCTTAAAGTCAGCTATTACTTCTTAGAAGCCTAGAACAGATATCCATTTAGTCCCTTTCACACCTGAAGGGGTTTTCTAATACCATCCAAGCTATTAGCAAGGCTGGGTATTAGTTCTGATTCCTACGTAGGACATTTTATAGTATTACTTCGTGAACTTTTTGTTTTCCTATATAGTCTTTTATCCAGGAGGTTTTTGGTGAAGCTAATCTCAATCCCTTCTCTTTTAGTTTTAATTAGTTACTCTACTTGTCTTGCTCTAGATTATTTTATTTTTCTGGATATTGTACGAGATACCTAACAAGAATGCTGAATGGACAGATGGATTAATCTTTAAAGAATTTGCCTTCTTTCTGATGACTTGTTTCAAAGCACAGACATTCTGTGTGATTCTAGGCAAGTCTACCACCTTCTTGTATCTCTATTCCCTTATCTGTAAAGTGAGATAATAATAGTTCCTATGTCATATAATCCTTGTGAGCGCTAAATTAGT